CCCCAGTACCTTTGAAAGGTTGCTAAATTAATGGTTGTAAGTCGAGGACTACCCGTGCATAGGGGTATCCTTGAAAAAAGCCTAGAAGCCTCAGTTAATACAAAATGCAGGAGCTGAGCGGCAAACCAATACTTGAATCTTAAAGCTGGATCTGTATTACTGCAATTGGTTATCTCAGCAGAAAGTGAAGTAGATAGTATTAACCATTTTTAAAGTTTAGAGCAGGGGTAGTCAACCTTGGCTCTTTTATGACTTGTGGACTTCAACTCCCAGAATTCCTGAGCCAGCCATGCTGGCTCAGGAATTCTGGGAATTGAAGTCCACGAGTCATAAAAGCCAAGGTTGACTACCCCTGGTTTAGAGGGATATCTAAGAAATTATCTTCCTGATATGAACATATCTGAATATTAAGATCTGCAGAAGAGACTCAACTGTGTGCCTTCTATCCGAGAGACCAATTACTAGATATAGGCAAAAGGACCTCCTTCTGCATTAATCCCAGGAGGAAATATATTCTCTTGGCTGTATCTTTTCTTTAGGTATAATCTATGTTTATTCTTGAATGTTCATTTTGTTTTACATGTTTTATTTTAATAACTGTTCAGTATTTGAATGAATGTAAATAATATAAGTGGAATAAACAAGGAAATATTTTAGGAAATTCAACTTGGAACGTATTGTTTTTTCCTTGTTATTTTGTACAGAGACGGCTGGAAAATAATGAAACCAGACTGGAGAATAAAAGGCCTAATGGAAGTGATTTTACCTGGAGATCAACAGACAATGCACCTTATATTGCTCTGCATAGCAGAAATCCTATTAAATCTGGTACACTGACTCACATGATTGAAAAAAAAGAGGCCAGAATACACAGTAAGATCACTTTTAGATAACATGTTATTAAATAATATATTTAAGGAATGTTAAAATGCAGCACTTTCTCATTCACACAGAGAAAATATTCTAAAATGTTCCCTCTGCTGAAATAAAGAGGCTCCTATAGAAATCTTTGAGGAAAAAAAAAACAGATTTTGCACGTAGCTGGAACAGGGCACAGAGGTGTGCGTCTACAAGTTTGACGCCTAAATCAAACAGGAGGGGAAATGAAGGGAAACAACCTAATTAGAACTAAGAATGCTTAGTGGGGATATAATCATTGGTTGGCTTGGCTGGCGAGAAAGATGAAAATACACTATACAGGGTGATAGAATGCAGTGGCTTGAGTCTTGAACAGAATAATTTGTTTCAGGATCTGGCCTATATATAATAACTGTTAAAAATAGTAAACTGATTATGTGTTATTGAAAAAGGTAATCATTAGTGTTTACATTTTGTTTTAAATTAGATAGGCCTATTAAAGTTATGAATGGGAAGTTCAAGCAAATTCCAAACGCTGAGCATCTTCCAGAACCTGCCTTTGAAATGACCTTGTCAGATTTCCCAAAACTCCAAGACCTAGAAAGTAACAATCTCCTGGATCTTCAAAAGCATGCATGGGGGCCAGTGGGCTCAGCAGAAGGAGATAAGCTGCCTCTGACACCTCCAGGAAAACTTGCAATTTCAAATATAACCAAAGAGGTTAGCCACTGGATAGTGTTTGAAATGTTGAACATAGAGGTGTTGATACAAAACCATTTGCTAATCAGTACAACTGCCAATTTCTATTAAGGGAACGTGAATAGAAACATATCTCATCAATAATGTCAGTTCCATGGCATGTTAGAGAAAATTTGGAACTAAATTCTTAGTTATCAAAAATGTTCCTCTAAGTCTTCCTAAAATGACATTCTGATTATTTTATACGTTATGTATAAAATATCCTCTTTGGGGGAGAGGGGAAAGCTTAGTTTGATTTATATTTATAAAGAGAAAGAGTTGGGTTGGGTTGGCAACTAAAAATGATTAAATGTTTCTTATTACCCTTTTGTATATAATAATTTTTGCATGGATTGGTTTATTCTTTTGTTCTGTAATAATTTTGTAGTTGTCTCATAGTGAGAACAATGCATTGAATGTATTAATATGGCTTACGTTCTTTGTACTATCTAGCAGGTAATAAATATTAACAAATCATACTTGCTAAATAAAAAAAATAGACAGCCAAGTATACATTGGCCATATGTGAGTTTTGATGTATGGTGGTTGTGTTAAATGGGCCTAATAAATTTAAACTTCATAGACTTTTTTCTCTCTCAAAAAGTTTTGCTAAGTTAAAGGATTGAATTTCTCCAGTTCTTTTTAATTTTTTCCGATTCTTCTATGAATTTAGCTTCATTTATTACATACAAATAGATAGGAAATTCAGAGTTATAAGTAGTAATGTCCAGTTTGCAAAATATAAATCCACCTATTCCCAAGAAATTCTGTATAAAAGACTTAAAGATTTTAAAAATGAGGATTTAAAAGCATAAGATTTTTATGCTGTCTGGCAAAAAAAAAAAGTATGTGTGTATGCATGTGTGTATGCATGTATTTATACTTTATTTCCAGTGGCTCTTGTAAATTTGTAATTGAACGTAACTAAATATGGATTTTCCATTGTACATAAATTATATACTAGATCCCGAAGAATTCCTTTAATGAAGCAAGATGTTTTCTGCAACAACTGAAGCTTTTCTGGACCAGTGTTTTTTATTTTATTATGAACCTATTATTTTATTTATTATCATGGTGAGGCTTTACTTTCTGATTGATTCCGAGTAGTGGTGCATGTGATAAATTATTTTTAAATTATGCTAAATTGTGCATATTTTCAACTAAAGGTGTCAATATTTACTATAGGTTGAAGTATGTCGGAAAAATTATTTCCCTACAAGACCCTTAAGTTCTTCATCAGATCCTGGTGGTAAGTATTATCCAGCCCAGTATAACTTGGCTTCATGTTGATGCTGTATCCTGCTACTTTAGAGTTTAAAGCATTAATTCTCATTCCAGTTCTTACTTTATAAATGCATATGCTTAAAATCCATTCAGTCTGTGGATAAAGTATCCATACATGTGATTAGTCTGTTTCAAGGTATACAATAATTATTGAAGACCTCAATTTTTCATTTAACACATAAAATACAAATCGTGATTTTATATGGGGCAACCTTGGTTCTCTCTGAGCTTGGTGGTTTTCTTGCAGACATTTCATCACCCAAACTAGATAACATCATCAGTGCTAGTAAGGAGTCAGTTTGCTCTTAGTTTATATTCTAGTGCAGTGATGGCAAACCTTTTAGAGACTGAGTGCCCAAACTGCAACCCCAAATCCACTTATGCATTGTCGAGTGCTGGGTGGGTGTGGCTCATTGGGTGGGCGTGGCCAATTGGGTGGGCGTGGCTGCAATGGTAATGGCAGACTGGGTGGGACTTTGCAAGAACTTTTTTTTTCCCGCGAGAAGTTGAAATTGACTGATTGAACCTTTTTTTTTTTGCACATGGCGGTGGAGGCCTAAAGCGAAAAGGTTTTATAAAACCCAGCTGAAGGCCTAGGACTGGGGCAATGATGCATGTGCCCACAGAGAGGGCTCTGAGTGCCGCCTCTGGCACCCGTGCCATAGGTTCGCCACCACTGTTCTAGTGGCTTTCCCTGTCAGTGTTAATCTATGCTCATCATGGTCGAAACTATGGTTAGGTCTGGGAAACTATGACCATCCTAAACGAAGCCAAGTCCAAAGACACTAGAAGCCTGACACTCTGACAAATTAGCCATTAATAGACACATAGACATAAACAATATCTACATACTATGCAAAAGCAAGCCAAAAAGCAAGCCAATATCTACATACTATACAATTAGCAAGCGAAAAAGGGAACAAAAAGACCAAAACACCTCTCCACCAGCAAGCAGCACCCAGATGAGCATAGATTAACTCCAAGATTAACATCAGACCAACAGTCAAGTAAACAATACCCCAGTCAAGGAACTGCCATACAAGCTAAGGGTAAACAGCCCAACCAAAGAATCTCAAAGACCACTCCCAATACTGACAGGGCAAGTTACTAGAATATAAACAGAGCAAATCTACTCCTTACTAGCACTGATGATGTTATCTAGTTTGGATAATGAAATATCTGCAAAAAAAACCAGCCAAGCTCAAGGAGCACCAAGGACCCCTTATTTAAACCCTGAGCTACAAATATTCTCCTTTAATCATTTCATATATAATTTTACAGTCCAGTATGTCACCAGAAGATTTGTTAAGATTTATTTGTCAGGCTGTCCTTAAATATAATACTTTTTTATGAGAGGGAATACTTCTCCAAAATAGCGCCTTTAGAAAGGGTTTCTTAGAAAGCTTGGCATAGCCCAGTGGTGGCGAACCTATGGCACGGGTGCCAGAGGCGGCACTCAGAGCCCTCTCTGTGGGCATGCGCGCCATCGCCCAAGTCCTAGGCCTTCAGCTGGGTTTTATAAAACCTTTTCGCTTTAGGCCTCCGCCGCCATGTGCAAAAAAAAAAAAAAGGTTCAATCAGTCAATTTCAACTTCTCGTGGGGAAAAAAAAGATCTTGCAAGGTTGGAATTGATTGATTGAACTTTTTAGTCCCACCTAGTCTGCCGTTACCACGGCAGCCATGCCCACCCAATGGGCCACGCCCACCCAATGGGCCACGCCCACCCAATGGGCCACGCCCAGCCAATGGGCCACGCCCAGCAAATGGGCCACACCCACCCGGCACTCGACGATGCATAAGTGGGTTTTGGGTTGCAGTTTGGGCACTCGGTCTCTAAAAGGTTTGCCATCACTGGCATAGCCTATTAAAAGTATATCTTGCTGAACTTTAGTGGTTGATACTACTTAGTTTGTATATACATTCTGTTTGTTCTCAGTTCCTCAGGTGCACTCAGACCTTTTCACTGAGCCACCCTTGTCTTGGGCCACTGTGTTTTCACAAAGTCATAAAAAAGTTGTTTCAGTTCCAGCTTCAATTCTGGCGAGCAATCATTCTGGAAATAATAAAACAGATAATGCTCCTGTGGATTACAAGGTACGAAGATTGGTTTCCAAGCTCTTTTACTGTTTTATAATTAGCCAGAACTTTTAGTGACCCTGCAGCATAAAATATTTAAAATGCATGGATTTGTAAGAGGAAGAATGATAATCGTGATAAAAATCAAACACGTTATTTCTCTAGAATATTTTTAATGGAAGTGGTATAAAAATGTTTTAAATAAATAAATGAGATTAAGTAACCCACATTTTTTTTCTTTCTTTTTCTGTGCATAATCACTACCCTGATCAACTTTCCTTAATTTCTACCACATAGCTCTTCTTCTATTTGTGCTTATTATTTATTTATATTTATTTATTTAAAATATTTATATGGCCACTCATCTTAAACCTTTCTGGGCAGCTCACCATAGCAATAAACCAATTCATAAAAAAGATCATAAAAGCAATAAAACATATATCTTCACTTCCTTATAGCATGCTATTAATCTTCCTGAGACTGTTTTCTATTATTTTAATTATAAAATGTCTTCCTCTTAATCTTGAAAAAAAAACCACCTGATTTTTATCTCTTAGTATAGATATAACATGCATTTATAATCATGCTGTGAAATTGAGCAGAGTGGCTAAAATAAGGACAGAATTATGACATAGGCCACTGGTCCATAGACCCCTGTGGGGCCAGGATGCGGTCACAAGGGGGTCCGCGAAGGCTCAAAGAAATTTATGATTTAAATGAGTTAAGTCTTAGTGGTCCGTGCCCATGGCCACAAAAGGGTTTAAAGGTTTTGTGTGGTAAAGAAAAGGTTGAGAACCACTGACAATAGGGAGTCATTTTCCTATCTTTGATTCCAGGTAGGAAAACATGTTTTCTCACTATGTGAGACTAAGAGCTTATTTGAATTGTATTTGAGGGTAGATAATTGTAACTAAAATTGTAGCCTTACCCTACAAGACAGTCTTGGCTTTATTTTAATCCTCTCCTAAGAAATTATTTACTTCTACTTATACAGCAATCAGAAACAATAGAAAATGCAAATGCTCTTGAAGAAACAGTAGATCAGAAGAAGAAGAAGAAGAAGAAGAAAAAGAAAACCAGATCATGCAGTGAAGTAGAGAAACTTCCTACCCAGAGCATTTTAGTTCAAGAACCTCCAAGAATTGAGGTGCTAAAGCTAATTATCTGACTCAACTAATTATTTATTCGTATGTTTGTGAAGGAATTATATTAAAGAATAATTTAAAGAAATAAAAAGTCATTATGATTTAAGCTCCACATAACAATCCAAAATCATATAATTTTTATTTTATATAAAATAAAAAGCCTAAATTCCAGGCTTTAGTATAAATTTCTTCCCTCAATTATTTAAAATGCCAGATCCTATTTAAAAATAAAGCTTTTATCATTTTTATTTTACTTTTTTAATGACGTGTAATAACAATAGTACATAAGTGGAGAAAATCACAATCTTCTTATAAAAGTTATATATATTCTACTACTAAGTAGAAAATAGTTTAAGTGTTAAACTGATATAATGTATAATAATTATTTTTCTTTTAAGTTTATAACTTGGATCAGTACTGTTTCCACTAAAAAGTTGTAATATCTTTACCAAATTAAGGGTTTGTTTTCCTCTCTGAATGTGAAATAAACAAACAAATAAATACAGAGACACATACACATAGTAAAAATAGAGGAATATTTGTATTTGAACTGCTCATGATTTTCTTTCATTTTTTTTGTATTGTTCTTTTTTTAATTGTAAGTCATTTAAAAATCTCAGGAGATAGGCAGTCTCTGAATTGTATGTGAAAATAAATAGTTTCCTATCCAGATCTACTCAAACAACCTATTTTTATTTATGCAGGATGTTGAAGAATTCCCAGATTTAGCAGCTGCTTTTGACAGAAAACATAAACAGGCATCTGAAAATATTACTTGTATAACACCTATTATTGAGAAGACTAATGTAAGAATTACTATTTGTCTCTGTTTTCACTTTTAAATGAGTATTCATTTTTATTTTAAGTATTTATTTTGTTTTATCATAAAAGATAAAATACAAAACAGAAAAACAAACAAAATAAAAACATATGCCCAGCACTAACAACAACAACAAAGGAAAAAAAATGGTGTACAAAAAAAGAGAAAAAGGTGATCCAAATACCAAGTAAATTTAACATTATTTTTATTTATTTTTTAATGGCTGGGATTTATTCCTCTTTCATTTCAAATTGGTCTTGAGCACTTTGCTCAAGTGGACTTCATTTACAGTATCAGTCCACTGATAAATGATATCAGTCATAATAAAGGAATTGGGAATAAAAATAAAAGGAAAATAAAATAAAAGGAAGATACTCTAACAAAAATTTCCTGCAAAAAGTTCACTGCAATCCAGTGAACAGGAAGATGATATGATACGAAGTATCAGTATCATCTTTCTTAACCAAAATTCTTGAAGACTGCAAACACACCTCATAAGGTTTCTTAGGAAATAAAACTAATAGAGCTGCAGTATTAGAAAATAACCTTGGAAAAATACCCTTGCTGGTTTATATTTTCATAAAATTTTATGAATAGGCAAGTACCCAAAGAAGGTATTTTGTGAAGCATACACATTATGGTCTCAAAATTGCTTCCTGACTCCCAATGAGTTAAAAATGGCTGCCCTACATACATTAGAAAAGCTTTGGTAATTACGTGGACCCAAAGTTGTTTGTTGATGACAACATCCCCATGCAAGCAAAACTGGATGGACAATCTTATCACATATGGCACAGAGAGATATGTGAAACTAAAGAACTGAAGCAGGAATAGATGCATGTGTGAAAGCATCCATAGAATATCACTTGATCCAAACCTATCATCATAATTTTGGAGTTAATAGCTAGAATCCTGTTAACTCATGATTTGAAGGTTGTCAGCTCGTAAGAACTTAGATCAATGGATTAAAATCTACAAGTAGTCCTTGTTTTGTAACCAGCTACTTAGTCATTAAGCGATGTGGTTACTAAATGAAACTGCAACAATGTGTATGTTCTTACTTCAGCTTTCCTTTGCTTTACAGACCTGTAAATACAAGGACTGGTTGCAAAGTTTCTTTTTCATCACCGTTGTAACTACAAATGGTCGCTAAACAAGTCAACTGCTAAACGAGGACTACTTGTAATTAGACTACTCAACTGAGAGCCATACCTTTTCACCCTTCATACCTTTTTCATTTTATTTGTTTTCCAGGTAATCACAGAGCTCTCTAGATTGGAGTCTCATGACCATTCTCCAAAGGAATTAACAATACCTATGCCAGATATATTATCAACAAGAAAAAAAGGCAAACAGGGTTCACCAGCTCCAATAGAAAAAAGGAAAATGCAGGTGAATTTATTTTTTCTGTGTTACATTAACTTGTTTGTAGGCTATATGAATATTGCTGGATAGATATGCTCACATACATTTTATTTCTTAGATAGAATTTGGAATGGGAGAAAATCTGTGGGTTTTTCTTTTACTTCCTACAGGATGCTCTTCCATCTAAGAAGAATAGAAGAAAAAGTCAGATTCCTGTGCAACTTGATTTAGGGGGTATGCTGGCAGTTTTGGAAGAAAAACAGCATGCAGAAAAATTAAACCAATCATCTAAACCTGTGGTGCTTTCAGGTATGCTTTTGATACTGTTTCTCTAAATCAGGCATGTCAAACTGCAGACCCGCAGGCCGGATGCATCATACTAAAACTGCCAGCAATGGGGGAAAAGTTGCGATACGTCACGCGATGTTGCGAGTTTGACATGCCTGCTCTAGATTATGACATTCAAATCTATCACTCTTTTTCTATTTTGTACTTCATATCTTCTAAGGTGAGCTAATTATTGAAAGAATTCAATAAAGGAATAGAATGAAAGAATTCAGATATTATTTTATTCTCTGTTACGTGAAGTCAAAGCTATCAGTTCTTTAGCTGGTGTTGGCTTTCATATGCATGGAGTTCTTCCATATAATGCTTTTTTGGGGCCAGCATTTTCTTCTTGTTTTTATTACCGGTACATTATTTCAGTATTTATGTTTTGTTTTCCTACACATTCAATAAGTTTCAATTTTTAATTTGCATCAATGCTTATTTTTGGCTGTCTTTTCTGTAATCATGCTTTTCTTCTTCAATAGTTTGTTTGACTTGAAGTAAACTTCTGCCTCCATTTTGTGGGGCAGGTATAATCTATCAAAACCACTATGGGGATGTAATGCATAGCTCATTAGCTTTAATGTTTCTCAGTCTAAACGGTTCAGTTTTATATCATAGGTAAGGCCCAAGTATAGATGGCTTTGATGATATTTCCACGATTCAAATAAATAATAAATTATGATTATGATGTGTGGATAATCTACCATTACATTAACAGTCTTAGACACTGGATGGGTATGAAAGATACAGTTGCTCTTAATCTACAAAAGTTTGTGAGAGCAGTCTGAATATATCAAGCAAGATATTACAATAAATGTGGACAAATGTAAGGTGATAATGACCACTGAATTTCAGTGAAAAGTTTCATGACTTCTTTAAATACTTGGTATAAACACCAAACTGATTTATTTGCAGTAATAAGGTAAGCATGAGCATAAATACTTGCTGGAGCAATCTGCAGTTGAGTGGATGAAGGTACGAGAGAGAGAGAGAGAGAGAGAAAGAGAACTATAGTATTTTATCATTTAAAAAAAATAGTAGTGATATAAACAACTAATTACTTTTAGTTAAAATTGGTAGGAACAGAGGCAGAAGAAATTTTCTAAAACTGCCATGTTCCCAAGAGAAGGCTGGTGTAATATATTGCTACACAAAGAAAGGAAGATGTTCTGTTACATATTCTTGAGTTTATGTGATGAGTTCACTGTTAAACCTGAATTACACTCAAAGGTAAGTAATGACTTCAGATTTAAAGCCGCCATCAGATTATATTTGCATACTTATATTTGTTTCAGTTGGTGGTGGAGTAACATTGCCCTCTAAGGAATCTGTCAGAGTAACAAAAATTTCGCAGTCAATTCAGAACAATACTCCACACAATCCCTTGGACTCTAGTTCTCCATTGGTCAAGAAAGGGAAGCAGAGAGAAGTCCCAAAGCCAAAGAAGCCAACATCCCTAAAAAAGGTACATTCATCTAACCACTCTAAGTACAGTATAGTGTAACTGTTGCTCCTTTGCCTTTACCAACATTTCTCAACCTGACAACTTGAAGATGTGTGAGCTTCAACTCCCAGATTCCCTAGACTGGCTGGACAATTCTGGCAATTGAAGTTGACACGTCTTAAAGTTGCCATCGTTGAGAAACACTGCTATAGATGCATTGGCCTTCTTTAATATTTAATACATATGAAATTCTTCAAACTGTTGCTACAAGAAACATATTAAGGACTAATACATTAATCCTTAGGGATGTGAGTGAGATAGAATTTGAGTGAATTCACTTTTAAGGTAAAATTGCTCAAAGAGTTTTTTGGGGACAGGCTGTTGAAATGATCAGGAATATAAAATGTATCGCTACCTTACTATGACACAGCAGCATAACATGTGAACTATCTTTTAATTTAACATTAAAAAGATGCCTCTTCATGTTAAGATAATGCCATAGTTTTCTCATAGGATTTCTCTTTATATTAATTTAAATGTGGCAATTAGCAACTGCCTGTCAGAGATGTGTAACAGCCCTTCTACTCCTGTAAAACTGCACCACCAGGTCTGCCTCATCCAATAGAACAGTCCAGGATGATGTCACAAATATTAGTTTTCAGCTTAGTGTTTGCTGCCACTATTTTGTTTTCCTTTTCTTAAACAGGGTTGTAGCAGTAAGGCCAAAAGGATGAAAATGTGTTCCCTTTTTTGCAATTGAAGGAATTTAAGAGCTTTTAAACTAATACCTGCTTTTCAGTCCGTGAAGACCAAGGCCTTCTGATGCATGTTACCACATTGCAATCTACATAAGACATAAACTGGCAAAAATATCTCTGTTTAAAATGGTACTGAAACTTTATTAAGAATACACAGTAGTAAAGAAAACATGGATGGGTGTTAGGTTAAAAAAAAAGTATGAACAAGGAGATGATGGGAAGGCTTAGCATAAAATGATAATGAGATGTTAGAAAAAAGACTAGCTTTGAAAGAAATTGAATGAGGCTAGCTTAGTGCCTGTTCAATATAATATAAAATACAAATACTACTCTTGCTGGACATTCATGCACCTAGAAGTCTGCATAAGTCCAATTCTTTTCTACATTTTGAAAGATTTCACTCATAACCTGAGCTTAGATTCCTCTGTTTCTTTCTTCACAGCTAGTCAGGGCTCCCAAGAAAAGTCCATAGAAGGAGAAGGGAAAAATGTCTAGCCAATTTCTCCCATGTTCTTTAGCTGCCAAGAGAGAGGTGTTGTTACTCAGGGATTTGGACAAGTGACCGCCTCTAGATTTTTGGCCAATGGTGGGTCAACATGAATAAAATCTGACCTAATGTGAATCTCTAGAAGCCTACATTACTAAAGGCATTCATTTCAACCCATCCCATTGAGCATGTGGAACAGAATTCAGTATTTGCACATATTTAAAATCTATCCACTTGCCATGCTACCTTTCATGGAATGTCATAGACAAAAAGCATCCTAAAGTAGTTAAGCGTTGCCTGCCAATATTTCAGGAACCAGTTAGCTTTATTTGGGGAGAGCCTAATGCACGTATTTTCTTTTAAAGATTATTTTAAAGGAGAGAGAACAGCGAAAACAGCAGCACATTTTGGAACAGATGGCTACACCAAATAAAACTGATGCTGTTGAGCAGAGTGCAGAATCTGTTCCTGATGAGGAGCAACATTGTAAAGCCTCCAAAGAAGTTGCAGAGTGCATCAGCAGGCAATCAGCTCCAGGTGCTTGTAGGGAATGGATTGTTTTAAAAAATGTGTTAATGAATAATTGGTGTGGCTTGTTTGTGATACAGCAGCTACTGCACATAAGCCTAGACCAGGAGTAGGCAAGCTTGGCTCTTTTATGACTTGTGGACTTCAATACCCAGAATTCCTGAACCAGCCATGCTGACTCAGGAGTTCTAGGAGTTGAAGTCCACGAGTCATGAAACAGCCAAGGTTGCCTACCCCTGGCCTAGACATTGCTTTTTTCCTACAGAGTGCACAAAAAAAATCTTGCTTAAAATTCTCATCTTCCTTTTGCGGATATAATTGTCACTTTTGAGCCTTTTGTAGATAGTTAAAAGCTGCAATGGATAAGGTTGATCTTCATTGCACCCGTGCTTATATCTTAAGTTGGCATTTAGCATTGCCAGGTTTTCTACATGCAAAAGGCACTGTTCAGTTTAAAACAGGAACAGTAAAGAATTAGCTTCTCTTATAACCTAAAAGAGCTTGAAAATGTGAAGAAGAGATATTATTTCTATTTTATGTTTTAATCTAATTTCAAATGTAACTATAACTAACACACACACATGGTATATTATATATATTTAGCATATCATATACATTTAATGTACATGTATGCATCACTTATTCTTCAGACCATTCTCAAGCAATATAAAAAGTTTTAACAATAAATTAAATATAACATAAAATGCAATGAGAACATAGAATAAAGAAAAATAAGAAAATTTTAGTAATGGTGTTTGGAATATTACATAGTGATCGTTCAGTCTTGCTTTCAGGCAAATGGATCAAGCTCTCTCCTTGATATTAATTTTAACTCATTAGTTATAAATATGAAACATAATGCCTTTGAAGGATGGTGATGTGACTATTTTAAATGTTAACTATTTGCTTTGCATACAAAGATTGCTTAAACTTTAAACAGAAATATGTAAAATGTCGTGTTCCATGGCTACCCTTTCTGTAATCTCTCCTCCTTATGTGGCCTGTCACTTTTCATGCCAGATTAACTTTAATACTTCCTTAATAAATTTAAACTGACCCAAATTAATCAGTAATATTTCTAAGGCTTCTGAACAAAATAACCATTTGTGTATACAACTTCCTTTTACTTAGAAGTTGTAAAAGAAGTTGCAGTAATTCTGACTGAGAGTAATTCAGAAGTGGACTTGAGATGTACAGAATTCAGTGGCTCCGTGCAAAACTCCACTGCTCCATCAGAGTTGAAATCCAGCTTTCCCAAAATCCATAGCCGAAGATTTAGAGAGTGAGTACATTGATATCAGTCATTCAAACCTTGCTTCTGTTATCGGCCTGGGAGTTCTGTGAAGTGAGATGCCTGATGGTAATTCTGGCACAAAGCTACAATCTGAATAGATTCCTTACAAGGCCTGTTCAAGAGTTCAACTGAATATGTAAAAACTTCCACACTGGATAGAGAATGAAGATATCATTTCTTACTCTCCCCAACTTGTGCAACGTGAATGTCTGAAGGGAAGCTCTATTCATACTGATCTGAAATATTAGTACAGCTTCCCACGCAGTGCAAGCTTATGTTTTTTCACTCATGTTCAAACAAGTAACTTTGATTTGAGATTTCCAACTGAACTTCTGAAGATCAGAAAGGGATGGAGCTGCCTCTGTGGCCCTGTTCCAAATCCAATTTGACTTCCTCCATACATTCAGCTGCATGCTGGATTAGTAAAATTCTGCAATGAACCTTAATTATAAGCAAATTACATGTTAGGATGGAATGATGGATTTGCGCTTTTGGATAAGTTTGACCATTGGAAATGTTTAGTTCACAGGAGAAGAAATTGACATTTTTAAACTATCTTACCTTTACATGTACTGTTTGGTTCAGATGATGTTAGTTAGGTGTCAATTTGACTCAGCCCCTGGTATCAGTAGGGACAAATACCTTCCATCTTGACTTGTTCCAGATAATAATCCATAGCTTTTCCAATGACATTTCAGTGATATTGTCTACTTTATTCAATGTTGCCAAATGTAGAGATTTTTTTTCTCCCCCCCTAGTCCATCATACCACTTGTCCAAAGTATTCTATGCTGATCATAGATTCAAGGGATACATTAGAATTTATGTAGTCCAAAGCTGTTTGGTTCTTCTTGCAATCCACAACATTCTTAAAATTGTCTCCAAATCTATAATCCTCATTCTTTCCCTCTTCCTTAATGTCCAGCATGAATTGCTCTACGTTTCTGCTGAAGAAACCATTGCTTATATCTTTATCCTTCATGATGTTAGTTTGCTGTTGCCATCCTGCTAGGGTTAATCTACTCTTTTTTTCTGTAGTATACTGTCCATCTTTATTCTTGACCCCAAATTCCAAAATTATCTACCACCTTCAGTTCTTTCAGCTTTCCATTGTATGTTCACAATGTATATAGATTGATACGACTTTTGCTTTCTTATTATTTAGTATAAACCCATATTTTTCACTTCTCATTTTTATTTCAATGTTGTTTTGAGTCCAGAATAAGCCATCACATTCTGTTATTCTGCCATTCTGTTTGTAAATAAGATTTGAGTACAGTTAATCCCCCAGGTACGAACGTTCATTTAGTGAGTTTTCACAAAAATGAATTTATTCAGAAAGGGTACTTCTTCTTCTTCTTGTGCCATATCCGTTATCGGACGTTGGCAATCATGTTGGCGATCCTGTTTTTATCAGCAGCCGCACGAAAAAGTGTTGCTGAGTTTTGTCCAAACCAGTCCCTTAGATTTTGAAGCCATGATGTTCTTCTTCTGCCTGGACCTCATTTGCCTTCAATCTTTCCCTGGAGGATTAAATGGAGTATGCCGTATTTTTCTGGGTGTCGCATCACATGTCCGAAATATTCTAATTCTCCTTTTTTAATTGTTTTGATGATTTCCCTTGGCTTTCCCAGGCGGCTTATCACCTCCTCATTTCTGATCTTGTCAGCCCAGCTTATACGTAAAAGCCGCCTGTAAATCCACATTTCAAATGCTTCTAGTCTCTTCAGGTGGCCTTCTGTCAGAGACCAACTCTCTACTCCATAGAGCAGGATAGAAAAAAATATAGCATCTGACAAGCCTGATTTTCAGTCTTAGGCTTATGTCGTGAAGAAAGGGTACTTACATTAGAAATTCAAAACTGCAACCAAAAAGAGGCCTCTGTAGCCATGTGACTTGGATTCAGTCACTGCTGCTGTGGTGGCCATTTTTAACTCTGTGATTTGCTTGAGCCAGTTACGAATGCTATTTCCTAAAGCTGGAAGGGTGTGTGGTTTTTTGTTTTGTTTTTTTGTCCCTGGTCACATGGCCAAACAAGACCTGATGACTTTTGCAGCCCGTGCCAATTAGTGTATATTACTATAATTTTTAGGTTTTAAATTTAAATTGCCTCCAGAAGTTGTGGATGTCCCATCACTGGAAGCTTTTAAGAAGAGACTGGATAGGCGTTTATCAGAAATACTCTCTTGTGAGAGCAGTGGGTTAGACTAGATGACATTATTGAACTATCTAATCCTTTCCTGTTTGATGTTGAAAGTCTGTGTTGAGTTATCATAAATCTTTCTTATTGCCAGAGGCTTTCGCTTTCATCCTTTGTCTTTTTCCAGCTATCAGGATGCTTGATCTGCAGGTCATTTGAATAATTTCTTTGAAATGTTTGAATTTTACAGAGTCTCTTATCTCTTCTCATCTCTCTTCAGGTTCTCTTTCACATAAGTGTATTGCATTTGTTCCCTTAACTGAGCTTAAATTCTGAATGTACTTCTCCCAGTAAAACTTTTCTTTAGCATTTATTTAACTTTTAAGGTTTAACTTGTATATTTGACATCAATAATTCATGATCTGTTCCCCAATCTTCACCTGGAAGTGAATCCTCACCCGGTTGAACAAATTATTACCTTTTTGATCATCTGTTTCCTATGATAAAGGAGAGCTTATTCTGATCTTGCACTTTCAGTGATGTCCATTTTGCTTATGTTGCCGTATGAATATTGCATAGCATATTGCTTTACTATCCCAAATGTTGAATGTCAGAAATCTAACTACATCGGTGTATAGCTGTGTGTACATAAGGAAAATTTTAAATGAGGACAGTTTGCCCTTTATTTTGTATGTATATTTTTCCCACATGTTTCCCTTAAGGCGTTTTTATTCAGTGTGTTTGTACTTTATTTCATGGTATAGAA